TAATTTTAATTCAGCTTAATTCAAATAACCACATAGTACTAATGGCTACTATATTGAACAGCTCCATTCTAGACATGTTAAAAATAGCTATAAGCAATAAGTAGCACTTACAACAAGATATAAATAATACTATCATTTAGGGAGTGACTACAATATGTTAGTTCTAATGCTGAATAGATACTGTCTCTGATCCTCACAATAAGAATAAGATAGCCTCATTTGACAAAGGAAACTTGAGGCTCTGAGCGATAAATTGCTTTGTTTTGTCCTCACAACTAATTGGGAAAGCTGGAATTTGAAAAGAGTTGACCTGGTTCCAGAGTTAGGTAATTTCTCCTATCCTACTAAACCTGTTTCTGTGTTACCGAGAAACTGTCTCTTTTAAGTACATCTTCCCCTCGCTTTATGGATCAGCTAGCAATATACTAGTATCTTTAACTTGGTCACATAGACCAATTACAGTGTCCATTTACATCTTCTACACTGGAGGGATCACCGCCCCTGGGCCGTTCTTTTCTCTTATTGTGACCCACGTCCTTCAAACAATATTGTAAGAGTTGAGGGTCCAATCCAGTTAGTTGCCTGAGTAGTGTGAGCTGATCATCTAAGAACTTTTCCCCATTAGATGCTAGGAAACTTCAAAGCTTATGCCCTGGTCCGAAAACATCAGGCACACACTACAAACTCTTGGCATTTGAGTGTCTAACTGCCACACTTCAGAATATTTGTGAAATCTCCCACGGTCTGAGCTGCTAAGCGAGCCTCGCTGGCACTTGGGAGTCTGAGGCATAATTCTGCTTTACTCTTTTCTATTCACTGTGGAGCATATAGCCACTTTTTAAGGGTCTGAAAGTTTTGATCACACTGTCTTAGTTACTCTGAACTTTGGAAATTATATGTTCTCTTTGGAAATCATATGTTCAGATATGTGCAGAATCTCAAAGGGGTAGTAATGTTAAGGAATGTTAAAGGTGTACTGTGTAATTCACTATCACCCATTATACATGAGCTGTAGCCACTTTACTTGATCTCCTCATTTTAGCTTCACATTTCAGGAGGCAAATATCATGAACATATTCTAGTTTCACTCTGAATATACCATATCATATCTTATTTTCTTAAAGGTAATTATGAGACCCCACAATAATATTTCTACAAACTATGGCCAAATAAGCCTTGTATTGATAATTATAAATTTCAATTTATAAAAAGTAGGAGCTGCTACTCCCTTCATTTTTTTTTTATTTTTTGCTTAGTTTTCTTCTTTTCTAATAGGCAGAGGTTCTAGTTTAAAAGCAGGTGTCATATTATTGTTTCTTTGATGGCTGCACAAAGGATAATCAGGACCATTGGATGGGACAGCTAATGTACAATAGTAATACTTCTACGGGTGCAACAAAAAGTAAATATGAAAACATTCGTTGTTTTTATCAGTTCAGGGTTTAATCTTATCTAGAGAGCTTTGTTAAACTCAGAATTTTTATATTCATGGTTTTGATTTAAATTCAGGATTGTAAGGAAAAGATGTAGTGTTTACTTTGAATATTAACTATACTCTGCTATTAGTGTTCCATGAAGCTTTTATTCAACAAATTGTTCTTTAAAAGGCTGTCGCCTATAAGCTATGGCCAAGTCTCCCCATTCCCAATTTTGCAACAAAAATTTTTCACTTCTTCAGTCACTCTTATGGGAAGAATCGGAATGCCAAAAGTCACCTTGATCTAAGCTACCATATCAGAGAAAAACTAAATGTAGATTTTTGTTTCCCTTAGACTTTCCTCATGTTTCGCTGGTGGAGAGTCACTTCAGTACATTGAACTAGAGTTTGGGATTTTAATTCTATTTTTCATTGTACTGATTTTCTGGTGTTAGTCATTAAAAACGATTCCAACTATTTGATGTTTGTTATTGTTTTGTTAAGTAAAAAGTTATATTATTTAACAAATGTGTCCATCATTTTTCTATTTGCGTAGAATAGTAATAATTAAAATTAAATGACATGAGTTTTTCTTATTGAATTTAGTATCTCTATTGAACACCTTATTGAAACCTGTCCTCTGAAGCCTTTTGGTTGAGAAATTGGCAAAATATTTGACTAAACTAAAAATAATGAAGCAGCTCACTGATCATCTAGGTTGTTAAAGATGAAAACATGAAGGATAACTGTAGTATAAACATAATGACCACTCTGTTTTCACCGATATTATCTGATACCTCCGTCTCTATTTTTAAAGAAAGTAACCTTTAAAGAGTGGAAAATAAAGAGCAGTTGATAGCGGTGCAGCTTGATCAAGTCACATATTGTTAGCAGCTGCTTTGATCATTTCTTGATTGAATTTTCTTATAGTTAAAATAAGTAATTTTTATTTCTTCTTCTTTTAAAAGTATACGTTCTTTGTGATATTTATTTGTGTAAACAAATAGATAGAGCACTTATAATTTTTGCAGTGACAAGGATGAAGTTTGTAAATGACATTATACCTGATCTTTACATTATGATGTAAAGAAAATTTATAAAAGATGCAGAAATTTCCCTTTTTTTAAGCCATTAAACAATGGTCATTTCTTGTTAACAAAGATTTCTGTCTTGTCTAAAGAGTCATCATTTGGCTACAGCACCAGAAAAACAAATTGGATGGTATAAGATGCCCTAAGAACTTTTTTAATCACATCGATATTCTTTTTCATGCAGGTAGTGTTTATTAATTTGGAGTAAATGATCTTACCCACAGATCTTTAAGCTTGATCATAGTTGGTAATCAACGCAACTTCCTTATACTTGAACAAAATTACCGAAGTTTTGACCTTATTTCACAAAAGAAACAACAAATAATTCCATACAAATTAGGAGGGAAAAATTAACCTTCTTAGGAGCAAACAAATGCTGTTGATATAATAATATACTAGTACATGTTTAAGGATAATGTAGTGAAATATATAATTAAAACTCAACTATTATCTTAAAGTGAGTTATTTCCATTATTTTAAAATATGGTTTAGTAATGAGTTAGAGTTTATTTTCAGTTTTACAGTAAATATATTAATTTCTGAAATTTGGTGATAACACGTAGTACTATATATTAACACTGGCTGGCCAAATAGCTGTCAGGCTAATGGCCTGTAGATAGATATATTATAGTCATATTATGCTCATACTCCTCTTGGAACGAGATGATCTAATTTCCAATTTCCCCCTTTTCTAGAAGGTAATGTTTTATTTTATCTTTTTACCCTACATTTAAGACCTTCTCCGAATACATTTAGGAGCATTTTGAAACTGTTAATTGTATAGTTCTCAAGAAAATGCTGGGTTTTGCTTTGCAGAACTGAGAGTATTAATTTGTTTGGGGATTCCTGGCTTAAGTTTTATTTTTTGTCCCTTAAATATATTTGAAAAAATTCCCCCCCTTATTGTAAGGCCTTTGAAAATAGAAGCCAATAGCTATTTATACATTTAAAATATGAAGAACACTTAAAAAGAAAATGAAATATACCCTGTGAAATATAGGGCTTCTCTCCCACCATGATGCAGGAAAAATCCTTGTTTTCTAAATTGCACATGGGTTTTTCTGGTTTGTTTTTGTTTTGTTCAATCTCCAAGACCTCCCAATTTTCAAGGGCACTGTGGGGCATATGTAGCATTTATTTGATGTATGTATGTGTATGCATATTTTTCCACATCTGTCTCTGTGGACCTATCCTTTGTGAAATTCTAAACCTTATATTAATACTTAGTTTGTGATTCATGGTGTTCTGAGAGCAATTATATAATTTATCGTAGGGTGTTTATTTGATGTGTGCTGTAAAAAAGGGGGGGAGTTATTTTATTTCCTTTTTCTGGTAACCCTGCCGTTGCCTTTTTATTGGTGAATTTCTCTTTCTTGTACTGTGACCTGTGAGTCTCACATGGGCTCACTGCCAATTCTGTGAGCGCTGCTGCTTCAAAATGGAGGAGGAAGGTATCCGATTCCTCAGGAGGACGACAGTGCTCAGTCCCCCACCATCTGGAGAGAGGAACTTCTGGAGAAAACGAAAATGGGGATTTAAAAAATTACATTTAGCAAAAAAGGCAAGGGGAAAATCAATTACAGTTAAACTGTACCTTATGAATTTATGCCTTTCCAGTATGCTGTTGTCTTTAAGGGAAATCTAAAGAGAAAAATACACTGGTTATTTTTATAAAGACCCAGTTCCCCAGATCTCATGAGTATTAGTAAACAAATGTAAGCAAATTGGGATTTGGGCACACTTTTTAAGTTAACTGCACACAGAAATATAATAAGAGCTATAAAGGAGGGCTACCCCCTTCTTTGCACACTGATCGTTGGTGGTCTATGTAGACCTGGCTCTTAGTGGCCTTGTTCATGCATCTCTGCAAAAAGCTGGCACTATAGGAATAATATTCCAAGACATATTTGTCACTTTCTTTGGTTTGAATAGTGTATTTGTTTTCTCTTTCTCTCTCTCACAAGTGAAAATTTTAATTAAAAGGTAGAGTAAAAGGGGAGAAGCTTTGTAAGTTATATAAATGTCTAACCACTATGCTGTACACCTGAAACTAATAACATATTGAATGCCAGCTGCAATAGAAAAGTTAAAATTTTTAAAAATGGGAGAAGCTTGTGCATGTCTTTCTGTTTTTACCTTTCATGTACTCTTGGGCCACCTATGCTTTTAAAAAGAAAGGATATTTAAACTCCCACGATCACCGTATTGGTATTATATAACATATTTATAACTAGACATATTCTTGCCTGTGACTTGAAAATATCACACCCAGTCTCCCATTCACACAAATGTACTGAGTGTTTGGGGGCAACGGGTTGTCTTCTGTTTTTCTGAAAGGAGAAGTGTTTCTAGGCTTTCATCGATTGCGAGTGCACATGGTAGACATTTAATGGTAGACATTTAGCACTGTGTGCCTGCTTCTTATATCGTTGTGGACCTTGAACACTTTGGTCAGTGCAGCCTGCCAAACTAAATCGCCTCTCCTTCCTCAGGTTTATGCTCCATCAGCAAGCACTGCCGACTACAATAGGGACTCGCCAGGCTACCCTTCCTCGAAACCAGCAGCCAGCACTTTCCCTAGCTCCTTCTTCATGCAAGGTAAGCTGTCTCTTCTCCTAACCAGAAATCACTGCGAAGTGTCTTCCTGGGTCTTGTCATGCCATGTATGAGGCAAGTGACTGAACTGATACCCAAGAAGTGGAATAGTAGACAAGTAGAGAATACTGACAGTCATGCATTCCTTACAAATGAATAAACGACTTAAAACTTACTAACACCTGTTTTTTAAATGAAAGCCCCTGCAGCAACAATGAGTTAACCTTAGGCTGGTTTGCTTTACTAAGACCGATGTCTTGGAGGATGGTCTTCCATGACTAATCATTTCAGCATCTTCACCCTCAAGAAGAGTGTGCATATATGTTTTGAAGTGTTTGGACTCAGTGTATATTTTGAGCATCCTGGATTTAACATACCAGGGGACAATTTGTTATTATAAATAACTTTCTATTAAAATTTTAGCCACGTATTGTTTCATAGGTAAGAACAAGCATCTCATTTGGATCAATGAAGTGACCTATCTGAAAACTGGAATATCATTTCATCACAGCCAAAGCTTTATTCAGCTTGCTAATTGATGTAGGGCAAAACATCCAGTTTTCTTCCCCGACAAATGCAGAATATTATAGCTTTGTGGTTGAAAATACATATTTATTTTTCTAACTGGCCAGCGTCTTTGACTAAATTACCGTGGATGTGTGGTCCCTGAGTTTATAGTCTTGCCATTGAGAGCACTGCCCCTGTCTACTGCTTGAAAAAAGACCAAGATGGTTGAAATGACAGCAGCTGCTGTAAGAATAGAGTTTGGAGGATGCAGCTAAGCTCCATTCCTGATGTGTCTGTGACACTTACTGTCAGAACGCAATGATCATGTTACCAAGGTAATACTCTGAAATTCAGGTATGGAATTGACCGAGATCCCCTGTATGCAGAACTTTAACTCTTTCTGCCAGGCTGGGGAAGCCTTGTTTGAGTGTGTCTTTGGCAAGTGCCATGAGATGTCCTTACTTGCGCTACCCTAGGAAGGGCCATGTCACAGCAAGGGGAGCCTACTTAGGGCTGCAGGTGCCAGGGGAGCAGCCTGGTGTCTCGCTTAGATTACAGTGGACACACTCAAAATCATTCTCATTAAAATAGATTTATTTTCTTTCCCTTCAGAGTGTTAGCTCTTTTAGGTTATTAGCTCACTTGTAAAATTCCATGGAAAATCTATAAAATTGAATTGAATGGGTCCCTCAGGAATAGAGAGAATTTGTTCCATGCATAATGGAGCTCATGTTCACAGGGACCTTTTATCTTTGTGACCTGTCCTAGGTGTAACTCTCATAGGAACACCCCAGGGCATGTCACTTGGGTGTGTTCTGTGCCATTACAGAAGGCTTCTCCCCTTCAGCTATAAAAAGCAGCCATATCCACATGGGCATCAGCACCTTCTTTTGTGGCTAGTTGTGCTACGGTGCTTACAAAGATTATCAACTCAAGGGTTTGTCACTAAAAGCAGATTTTCATGGAGAAAATTGACAGAAGGATAGATTTCTTCTGCCTGCCTTCACAAAGGTGGCTTGCTTAAACTGCACACTGCAAAGGAGATGGGATAGTTTAAAACAATAGGTTCTTCACCCTGCAGACCATGCAGGGTATGGGAAACAAATTTTCTTTTCTGCATATGAATACTCAAAATGCCAAAACATTTTTTTGAGTTGACATTTATGATGAGCACAATTAATTTGCACATGTCTAATTCTATTCTTTCAAAACAACATTATGCCAAGATCATGGGATGTGATAAATATTAATTTACTGTGAAAAGCATAATTTATGTAAAATACGTATTTTTATGAGTCTACATTGGGTTGAGTGTTCTGTGTTAACAAATCCGAAGAGTATTTCCATATAGTGCCTCATGTTGTCAAAATGTTTCAAGAGTCCTTTTTAATGATATATATTTTCAATTTATTCGTCATATATGCCATCTATTTGAAAAGTTAGTGGTCCTGAACTTCATGTGTGACATCTAAACTTCCTCAATCTCAGGGCTAAATCTAAAGTAGACGAATAACAACTTTTTGAAAGTCTGATTTTTCCACATTACCATCCCAGGAGCAGTGCACTTGGCCCCATCACGCATCGGCTTCCTTCAGTGAGGGGTGCCTGGTGCCCCAGGAATGCAGGTCTTGGAGAAACATGCTGGTTAGGGGAAAGATATTCAGAGACTGTCAGGGGCATATTTTAAACCTACTACGGTGCAGCCTCTTATTTTTAACTTTAATTTCCATCTTCTAGTTACAATTCCTAAATTACCAAGATCACAGACTTGATTTTGCTTGCATAGTTCTTAAGAAATCTATGGATTATTCCTTTCTGTCCTGAAACTATTCCAGTTTTCTGAATTCTAACTTCTAAGTTTAAAATCTCAGAAAAAAAAGAAGGCTCATGAGATACAGTGTTAGATTTAACTTGCCTATTGCCTACATTTTCAAAAGACCTTTATTAAATAAAAGGCTGGTGAAAATAATCTTATATTTTCACAAAGCAATGCCTGCCATATAGTTAGCACCTACCTGGTGGCACGGTATGTATCTGGCACCCAGTGATTTTTGTCAAACGTGACAGAAGGAAAACTTGGAAAAGCCAGCAGTCACATGGTTCTTCCCCCCTAATTTGAGAAACCTAAAGCAAACAGAACCCATCTCCCATAGTAACTTCTAGGCCAATAGACCCAGAGAACCTACAGGAATGTTTTTAATATGGTATTCCAAGAAGATTAACGTGATGTGAAAAGATCATTTAAACCTCTTTTAAACTCCTAGATAGTTGTACAAAATCCAGACTCCCGAAATTGACTGTAGACATTATCCACTTTATAATGTGTACTCTTTGAATTGCCACTGAAGGCTTAAGATAGCCATATATCTATATACCAAAAAAATGTTTTTAAAGGGAACAAAAACTCAGAATGATATATTCAAGATTTCTCTTTCCTATATGTCATAATGTAATTGCAACTTTAATTCCATCTACTGTATATGGTACAAAAATGAAATTCAGTCTTAAATATGAGATGTTCTTTTTCATTATTACTTATTTCTTTATATACTTTTTAAACTTGTAGGCATGCCAACTGTGTAATGTCTCAAGTATTTTTTGACCCCAAAATTTAAAAACATTTTAACTTTTTGGTTAATTTTCATAGAAAGTAGCATCAGAATAGTTCTAAGAAATGTTTCCTTTAGCATTAGGTGCCCTGCTGTCTTAACATAATTCCATGTAGAAATGTTTTTCTTTTACAGTTGGCTTTTTACTAAGAACACTTTACTATATTTAGTATTTATGTTTGTTTAGCAATATAGAGTCAGTCATTTGGGGAAAAATAACGATGACTTTCTTTCTGATGTAACCAGCTAACTGACACAAAGATGAATGCACAAGAGACAGCCATTTGCAAGTATATGAAAAACCTCTATTCTGTTAAGCAAGGCTGAACGCCTCAGAAAAGCCACCGTTTTCTTTGTCCTTTACAGATGGCCATCACAGCAGTGACCCTTGGAGCTCCTCCAGTGGGATGAATCAGCCTGGCTACGGAGGGATGCTGGGCAATTCTTCCCATATTCCACAGTCTAGCAGCTACTGTAGCCTGCATCCACACGAACGTTTGGTAAGGCAGATTCACATGGCAGTGGGGATGAGACAGCTGGTTTATTAAATCCAGTCCTTGCCTTTCCGTGCGTTTACACAAGGACTCTGCAAATGCATGCGACACTGTACACACCCGTATGCTCACCGTTGTATTGTTCCTATAATCAGAGATAGGACTGAATCAGATCACCTTTGTAAGTGCTTTTGGATTCCTTGTCATTGTTCTTGTTTATTGTGTTTTGTTCTGTGTTTTCTTTATCACACTGTCAACTTCCTTTGTTACGTAAGTACACACTGTATTTCTGTTGCAGAATTCAGCTCTGGCTGTTTCTTTTCTTTTCTTTTCTTTCTTTCTTTCTTTCTTTCTTTCTTTCTTTCTTTCTTTCTTTCTTTCTTTCTTTCTTTCTTTCTTTCTATTTGTAGTTTTGAAGGATATACTGCAGGGGGCAGAGTGACAGTCAGTAGACTTCGAGGGTAGTGATATGCATGGGCATTTCCACTTCCCCTTGACCGGCTTCTCTCACTCTGGGAGAAAGAGTTCATTTTTCTTTACCCTCCTATCAGTAACAGCAACCATGGGATTTCTATATAGAGCAGATTCCAAATTTTCTATATTTAGTTTTAATTCCACAGCCCCAATCTTCTACTGATACTCTGTTTTGCCTCATTCCAGTTGAAAACTGCTGTAGAATGTTACTCTTTTTTCTTTTATTACTAAAGTTTCCACTCTGCCCATCACCTACACTCATCCTTCCTAATATTAATTACTTTTTATCCTGGAGGAAGCAACTCAACCTGTTGTTATTCTAGCCTCAAAACAACCACAGCCAGGAATCTGCTTGTGAATGTAAGTCTATCATGAAATGGAGGTAAGAGTACTTCTAGATCACGAGTTAGGTTTGCGATGCAGATAGATAAAACTGAGTCCCTTGTGCAATAACCTAGCTTTGGAAATGTATGGACATCCATTCCTACAAGGTTATTACCAGTCCACTAGCATTAGTAGTCTTTATATCATTTCTCTTCATCTTGGAGTCTCCCCTTTTTTCTAGTACCCAGAGTTATGTTTCTTTCTCTGTCCTGATACAGGATATAGTGCTTTCTAGATTTCTTTTGCTCAACCACTAGAGGTATGGAGAAAGCGACTTATATCCTATTCTAACAACCTAAAATAGCCCAGGAGTTAGGATTTCTGAAATACTTGAATATGCCTACTTATTTAGTCCTAGTGACAGAGACACGATGTGGTCAAATAACCTATCCATTAATGAGAGACAAATGAAGGTAGCATTATATTATCTCATAAG